TTCTTCTGGGCAAGTTCTTCCGGGCAATTTCCTTGACCTAATTCGTCCGACGGGGCTTCCTCTGAGTGCTCTCTTCCGGCGGACATTTTCCGACCGATTTCTTCTGGAAACTACACTTTCTGGAACGATTTTTGCCGATCGATTTACTCCGAACGACTTCTTCCGGGCGACTTCTTCCAGGCGACTTCTTCCGGACGATTCTTTCCGGGCGATATCTTCCAGGCGATTCTTTCCAGATGTTTTTTTTGTTGGTGACTTCTTCCGAGGCAACTTCTTCCGGACGACTTCTTCGGGGCCATTTCTCCCAGGCCTTGTCTTTTGGGCGCCTTCTTCCGGGCGACTTCTTCCGGACGTGGTCTTCCGAACCATGTTTTCCGGGCAACTTCTTTTGGGCGATTTGTTTCTAACGAATTTACGTTTCTTTCGACGACGTTCTCCTATTATGTTTCTCCATCCTTTCATCTACCTCCCTTCCATTCTCCTCCTCCCCCTCCTCGTCCTCCTCGTATGCGTCGTCGTCCTCCTCCAGCCCCTCCTCCTCCTCCTCCTCTTCCTCGTCCTCCTCATCCGCGCCGATACTTTCCGAGAAGAGTCTCTGCGTCGCCGACTTTTTCCGGGCGACTTGTTCAAAACGGTTTCTTCCGGACCATTCCTTCCGCAGGCGGCTTCTTCCGCGACGACCTCTTCCGGACCATTTTTTCTGGACCACTTCTTCTCGGCGATTTCTCCCAGAAGAACATTCTTCCGGAAGAAGTCGTCTCGGAAGAAGTCGTCGCGGAAGAAATAGTTGATTTTCGTTTTTTCGTGTAATTGCAGTTCCGGTTAGTGGAATGGGGCGGGGGCGGGGGTCCCTCGGTACACATCACTACACCAAGTGAACCAAGTCCCGCCAAAGCACGAGGGACGCGCTGCCCGTCTCCGCGCCATTGTCCCGCTCCTCCCCGCGCCTCCCGTCCTCCTCCACTGCAGCCTTCGACAAAGCTCCTTCCGGGGCCTCGGAACGTGTGAGGGGTGTGGCGACATGAGTGCGGTGGCGCCATGCGAACCTTGCCACAGGGGCCTTGGATGGAGCTCCCAATGGGGCCACGGAGCGTGTGATGGGTGTAAGGACATGGGTGCGGCGGCGCCATGCGAGCCCCGCTTGTGGGGCCTTGCGTGGAGCCCACCATAGGGCCACGAAACGTGTGAGAGATGTGCCGACATGGGTGCAGTCAGGCACATGCGAACCTTGCCACTGTGGCCATCGGTGGAGTGACTCGTGGAGTGCCCTATGGAGCCACGAAGCGTGTGAGGGGTATACCGAAACGAGCGCGGTAGCACCATGCGAACCCTGCCACTGGGGCCTTCGGCGGAACTCCCTATGAGGGCACGAACATGTGAGGTGTATGCCAGAATAAGTGCGGTCGGCGGTAGCGCCATGCGAACCCTGCCACGAAGGTCTTCGGTGGAGCTCCAAATGGGGCCACGAAACGTGAGAGAGGTGCGCCGAAATGAGCGCAATGGCGCCATGCGAACTTCTTCTGGTCGACTTCTTCCAGTCGACTCCTTCCAGACGATTTCTTCCGGACGACTTCTTCCGGACGACTTCTTCCGGACGATTTCTTCTGGACGATTTATTCCCGACGATTTCTTCCGGACGACTTCTTCCGGACGATTTTTTCTGGACAATTTCTTTTGGACTGTTTCTTCCGGACGATTTCTTCCGAGACGACTTCTTCTGGACGAGTTCTTCCAGATCATTTGTTCCGAACCACTTCTTCCGAACGCCTTCTTCCGAACACCTTCTGTCATCGTCCTCTTATCCCTTCTCATCCGTCTCCGCCGCACCGATCTCTCGAGAAAAACCTCTGTCTCGACGACTTCTTCCAGACGACTTCTTCCGGACGACTTCTTCCCGACCATTTCTTCCGAAGGCGACTTCTTCCGCGACGCCTTCTCCCGGACCACTTTTTCCGGACCTTTCTTCCGGACGATTTCTTCCGGAAGAAAATTCTTCCGGAAGAAGTCGTCGCGAAAGAAGCCGTCGTTTTCCAATTGGCCCGTTTGGGGACAGCCGTGTGTACATGTTGAAGCGTGCCCTTACACCATTCTCAGGACGTCAACGCCACGAGTTAACCTGACTGTTACGTCTTGGCGATCTTGAATCGTGCCAGAACCTGGAACGTCAACACCACGAATAATTCCACGTAACTGTTGCGCCCTGACAATCCTGAGTCGCTCCCGAAGACCATTTCTGGTACGTGAACTATGGGAACCCGTGAAATTCTTGAAAATATTGATAACACACGTGCGCGGCGCTAAGGTGAAAGCCACATCTTGAAGCCGAATTGCCCTTAATCCGGGAAACTCTTGCGTTTGTTTAGAAAGATTGTGCGCGGCACTAAGGCGAGAGCCACACTTTGAAAGTGGTCCGCCATCAACCCGTGAAACTCTTGCAATTGTTTAAACGGATACGCGCGGCGCTAAGGCGTGAGCCACATTTTGAAAACGACCCGCTCTCAAACCGTAAAATTCTTGCAACTTTTAGGACGAATGCTCGCGGCGCTAATGCGAGAGCCACATTTTGGAAGCGACCCGCCCTACATGTGTAAAGTTGTTGTTGATGCTTAAGCATCAGGGTCGTAAAAGGTGAGGAAGTCTCAGGCGAAACGCCCGGCACGCCCGTTCGACCAGTTTCGGGGTGCGACAGTGCGACAGGGAGGATTTATCTGTAAGGAAAGGGAATTGAGGAGGAGGAGGAGGAGGAGGAGGAGGAGGAGGAGGAGGAGGCGGGAGAGGAGGAGGATGAGGAGGAGGAGGAGCGATCCATTGCCGTGGATTGTTCGGGTGTGTTCCTTGGGGCTGATCCTCCGTCAAGGGCGTTGGGCGGAGCCTTGAGGTCTGGATTATTTGGGAGATCGATCGCTCGTGATTTAGGTTATGGTGCCTGGCTGACCCTTCGGAAGGTCAAGGCCTGCAGGGTTTTGTCTGAAGCGGTGGATCAGAACGACCTACGGGGCATTCAAGGTTCGAATGATGTGGACTGTTTGGCCAAACGTGCAGCCCGACTGCACGACGTGGCTTCCCAAAAAAATAAGCCAATTTCGAGAGGGCCGAAATCAAATACAAAGCCGTAGTTTTCGGGGTCCTCCATATTCTGGAGGCACTCCTTTCGTGTGAATCTCAGTTCGGGAAGCTCACGAGGCCAAAGAAGGCCAAGGTGCCCCGCCAGCCTGGAACCCAGCATTCCCCTGTCCCACATACCATAGGACAGTGATGAGGTGACAGCACTGCCTGCGTGTCGTGTCGGCCTCTGCCCAGACTCAGCGCGAGGCCCTCAACCCGTCTCTGCTCTCCTTCCTCCGTGGGGGTGGGGGCTCGGGGCACAAGTTGGATGAGGGTCGTTCCCTCGTTGATGGTGATTGGGAATGATTGGGGTGTCTGCAGACACCCCAATCATTCCCAATCACCTTGCAGGTCGGGGTCCTCGTATTGGAGACAGCGCCATGCGTGTCCTCCCTCCTCCCTCATCCCACAGTGCTTCTGCCCTTCGCATGTTTCTGTTTCGGCACATCCTCACACGCTTCGGAACACGATAGGGAGCTCCACCGAAGGCCCCAGTGGCAGCGCCCGCATGGCACCACCGCACCCGTTTCGGCACACCTCTCACATGTTGTTCACATGTTTCGTGACCCCAAAAGGGGCTCCATCGAAAGCGGTCGGTACCCACAGCGCGGTATTCACAATTGCATCTGGTGAGGTCGTTCGCCAGGGTATCGTTTCGTGTCGAACGTGGAGGTTTCGCCAGCAGCCGAGCTGGGAAGCTGCTCCTCCACGGGCATCGGTCCCCTAAAAAGGCAGCCGAGCGCTCGAGACTCATCGCGAGGCTGCTCCCAGGGACGGTCCATCGACTGGGCCAAACCTTTCCCACCTCGTCATTCCTGTCTTGGGGGTGAAAAAATCTGGGGGTGAAAGGGGGTGCAAAAAAAAAGTTTGTTTTTCAACCCCGGTTTTTTTTGCACCCCCAGTTTTTTTTTCAACCCCGGTTTTTTGTTGCACCCCCGCGGTTTTTTCACCCCCAGGTTTTTTCACTTCTGCCCTCTGCCTCCGCCTCGGCCGCCCCCTCTTAATCGGTCCAAGGAGTGCGGTCCCTGTTTGTAGTCGGGCGTCAGCTGAGCCCAGCTTGATGCGCACCTGAGATCCGCTGAGGAGGATGAGGAACGGTAGGATTCCCATGTCTACGTATGACTCGTGTTGTTGAGAGTCGCGTGAAAGCAGCATCGCGGAATCGTGCAACGATTTTGCCCCAAACGAGGTTGTCTCGATCATGCTGCTGCCCTTACAGAAAAACGTTCACTTCAGTGTTGGGCGTTCGGCGTTTCATTTGTACGCGCCATCCCAGTGAGTGAATTTGATGTTCACTACTTCTCGGTTTGCGGCGAGGTCGGACATTACAGCAGAATGTTTAGGTTCCCATTTACTGCTTGTCTCATGTGTGTAATGGCGGCGGGCTCCCCGCTTCCAGGCGCACCCAGTGTCTGATTCTTGGTACGCGCTTCGCTCGATGATTGCATCATGTCTCATGGAAGGCAGAGTCTTCGGTGCCTGCTTGGTTTTCTATGCTGGCGCTCTTCCGTTGCACAAGCCCAGACATCCAGTGCTCAAGTTTGTTCGATGCGTGGACGACCCCCAGAGGTCTGGACCACTTCCCTAAGTAGGGCAGGTTGTTCATCCCGAGTAGTTCTGGACGGTCCCGAGGCCCGCTGAGGGCCCTACAGTCGGCCCGGATTAGTAGGTCGACCCTGCCAAATCAAGGGTACCTTTGTGTCCTGTGTCTCGCGACCCGTGCCTCCTGCATTCCTTTGGCAATGTGGCCCTCGGAAGGGTCTTCTGTCTTCTCGCGTGTCCTGTCCAATGAAGTCCGACTGTGAGAGGCCGAACATACCCCAAAACCGGCCGCTCCACGGAGCCTCGGATCTCCGGGGAGAGGAGGGGCAAGAGCCTCCGGAGCCTCTGGGGAGGTGCGCCTGGGAGCTCCCCGTCCACACCTTCCACGCCCTCGCCCGCCTGGACGTCGGCATGCCCGCGATCTCCGCCCTGGAGGCCCACCCCCCCCCGCCCTCCGCACGCCGCCCTGCGCCTCCTGTGGAAGCGCGGCGGGCACGCCACCAACGGCTCGCCTCCAGGAATCGGTCGCCGACACTCGCTGCACGCACACACACGCACACACACGCACGCACACGCACACTCACACACTCACGGCGTAACCAAAGGCGGCTGCGGACACGAGCTGTTCCAGGAAGCGAAGGTGCCCACATCCCTCCTCAAAATCAGACGCAAGTTTTTCCCACGACATGGCGACGCCCCTGGACCCCCACTTTCAATGCTGACGCGGACGCCCGCGACTGCAATTTTTTTGGTGGACCCCGCCGGCCGCGCTGCGCGCGTCCATCCACGTTGAGTTTCGGGGGCGAGGGGGTCGGATCTAAACTTGCGCTTGATTTCGAGGAGGGTTGCAGGAGAGGGAGCGGGAGGGGGCGTGGGGCGGCGGGGGCGGGAAGGAGCTGGAGGAGGAGGAGGAGGAGGAGGAGGAAGCGGAGGAGGAGGACCAATGTAAACCCAAGAGTCATCAGCGATGTATAATCCTGAATCCTTCCAAAACACCATTTCTGGTACGCTGATCTAGGGACTCCACGAAACTGTTGCAAATTGTAAAAAAGCGAAAGCGCGCGGCGCTAAGGCGAGCGCCACATTTTGAAAAGGAGCCGCCCTCTTTCCGTGAAGTTCAGGCGAATTCTTGAAACGAATGCACGCTGCGCTAATGCGAGAGCCACATGTTGAAGAGGAACCGCCCTCAACCCGTGAAACTCTTGCAATTGTTTCAAAAAACGAATGTGCGCGGCGCTCAGGCGAGAGCCACATGTTGAAAACGACCCGCCCTCAATCCGTGCAGTTCTTGCAAATTTCCAAAACAGAATGTGCGCGGCGCTAAGGCGAGAGCCACATTTAGGAAACGGCCCGCCCTCTATTTTTGAAACTGTAGTCAACTTCTAAGCTTCAGGGTGGTAAACGGTGATGAAGTCTCAGGCTAAACGCGCGGACCGCCCTAAAATCTGGCCTCGGGGTGCGACAGGGAGAAGTTATTTATAAGGAGGAGGAGGAGGAGGAGGAGGAGGAGGGAGAGGAGGAGGAGGAGAGGAGGAGGAGAGGAGGAGGGGGAGGGGGAGGGGGGGGGGAGGGGGGAGGGGGAGGGGGAGGAGGAGGAGGAGGAGGGGGAGGAGGAGGAGGAGGAGGAGGAGGAGGAGGAGGAGGAGGAGGAGGAGGAGGAGGAGGAGAGGAGGAAGAGGAGGAAGAGGAGGAAGAGGAGGAGGAGGAGGAGGAGTAGGAGGAGGGGGAGGAGGAGGGGTCGCGGGGCGGGAGGGTCGCAGCAAAAGGGCAACGTGGAGGGGGCGGAGAGGGGGCGGCGAGGGCCCGCCGCCCCGAACCTCTCTGTGGAGGGCGCGACGGGGGTCTGGCCGAGGGAGGCCTGGCAGCGCCGCCCATGGGCGCCTCTCGCGCCTCGGGGCCTTGCCGCAGGCCGCTGGTCGCGAGCCCCGGGGCGTTTCTCGGCGGCGCGCCCAGGGGGGGAAAGGCAGAGGGAGCGTCTGGGGCTCCTCCTCTTCCTCCTCTTCCTCCGTCTCCGTAGCCATTTTGGCTCAAGTCCCATGCTGCTGCGGGCCGAGCCCGCATTGGCACCCACGGACACCGCTGGCCCGCGGCGAGCAAGGCCCTTGTGCCTGGCAGTCTTTCTCGTGTGCCTCTGCCGTGGGAGTTGGGCCCCCACACCGCAGTTCCCAGTCGCCTCTCGCATCCGCGGCATGGCCGATGATGCCCATGGTGAGGAGGTCCCCGCGTCGCTGGTCGAGCAGTTCGATCTTGTGGCGACCTTCCCTTCGCAGGAGACGGGCGCTGGCCGTGGGAAGGGCGGCAAGGGCGCCTTGCCACCCCCTCGCAAACGCGCTGCTCATGATCATTCTGCTGCTGATGCAGCTGACGGGAACGACGCCTGGTCGTCCGACGACTACCTTCGCCAGCTGTGCCGCGATGAGTTCGACTCCATGCGGGCTGCTCTCACTTCATCCGTCTCCGAGTCCGTCAGGGCCACCGTTGCTGAGAACCACTCGGTGCTGCTGGGATCCATCGACAAGCTTCGGGAGCAGGTCTCTGGTCAGGCCGCATCTATCGACCAGCAGGTTCAGAGCGTGGTTCGTCCTCAAGTTGACGCCCTGGCTCGCAGGCTCCAGTCGCAGATCGACGAGCACAAGAAGCAGATCGACGCATGTGAACGACGACTGGGCGATCATGACGACCAGCTCTCTGCTCTTCGTGCTGAATTGGTTGAACTACGCCGCCATCTTGCTGTCGCTGAACAACGCCCCCAGGCCCCGCCACAGATCCCCACAGGCTTCGACAGAGATGCCGACTCCACCCTCCTCATCGCGGTGGCCCAGCGTGCCACTTCGCTCGAGGCCATGTCCGCCTGCATTCAGAACTTCCTCTCGGAGACGGGCTTCGACTCCAGCGAGTACGAGATTGTCTCCAAGGGCACCCTCCCGTGCAAACGCTTCGCGGTTCACTTCAAAGGGATGGTGCAACCAGCATCAAGAAAAGTCTTGCGCGCCCTCTCAGCCCTCAAAGATGAGAACGGGTGGAAGGCCTTCTTCGCCGATCTTCCCGGCCTGTCCGAGCGCACACGTGTCCACATGGGCCCCGACAAGTCCCCGAAGCAGGTCAAGATGGAGTACGTCCTCAGGAAGTGCCGCGCCGCCTTCGCCACCGAGTTCTCGTCCATGCGCTTCTTCACAGATCGGGACCGCGGGTTCCTCTCCATCGGCTGGGACAAGATCCTCAAGGTTGAAGTGGAGGCTGGGGATGCTCCTCCTACTCTGCGCTGGGACGTCGCCAAGCTGGAGCGCCACGACATCACCAAGGCCCGCGCCATGCAGCTCACTTCTTTCCTCACGGCCTCGGCAGACGAGCCCGTGTGGTGTCTTTGACGCGCTGTCCCTCTTTTCATCTTCGCGGTCCTGTTCCTCGGGTTCGGCCACTGCCTTGCGAGTGGTTACTTGGAACTGCAGGGCCCTCCTTCAGGCTGCTGGGGCCAAAGCAGCCATCAAGCTTAACTACCTCTCCAAGCTCGGCCTTGACAAGTCCATCGTCTCTCTGCAGGAGGTGCACCAAGACGCCCTCCAGCTGGAACACTTCGTGCATCGGGTGTGCCCGCGATCCACCGTCCTTTCGAGTTTCTGTGGGTCCGAACCTGCTGACCGTGCGCGTGGTGGCGTCGCAGTCCTGATCCCTCCGCTCGTGCATCTTCCTGATGATCCTGTGCATGTGGAGTCCCATCCTCTGATCCCTGGGCGTGTGCTGATGGTTACCCTGCGCGCCGCTCGTGCCTGCGTCTACCTCTTCAATGTCCACAACCACGAGCTGGGGACCACTGCCATCACAAGAGTGCGTGATGCTATTCGTGCTGCTCTCGCTGAGGCTCGTGCCGAACCACAGCGTGTCCTGGTGATTCTGAATGGGGACTTCAACATCTCGGAGGAGTCCGCCATGTCCCTGCTGGCACCGGTTGCGGCGTCTCGTCGCGGTGGCCGTCGGCACCACGCTGCCGCACTTGCCTGGAGGCCCATCTTCGATGACATGCTGGAGATCCAGGGCAGCGAGCCGACCCACTACGAGCGGGCGGCGGGCAAGGCCAGCATCATAGATCGCGTCTTTCTCTCCTTGCAGGGCTGGCAGGTGTGCCAGATGAATCTCGCCTCCGCCACGATGGGGTCGGCGGCGGCGCTCTCGGATGCGAAAATCTCGGATCACACTGCGGTCATCGTCCCTCTCGCGTCTCGCTCCGCTCGTCAGCCTGCTGCTCGCCCTATCCCACGCCGTCTCTGTCGCGACCCTCGTTTTGTCCGACGTCTACGTGGTTTGGTGGCCTCTTCCTCGTGGGATAGCATGTCGCCACCTTTCAAGCTAGAGCATTACAAACATCTCATGCGCCTTGCCGCGTCAGAGGTGCGCGACTCACTCTTTACTGACAATCCCGACAGTCTCGACACCTTGTTGCAGGTGGCGCGAATGATATCACGCGTGGTCTGGAGGCAAGACGTCAAGCTGGCCCTTCGGATGCTGGAATCTCACCCTCGCGTCCGCGATCACATCACCGTCCGCTCCTCCGAGGTTGCGCTCATCCACCCCTCGTCTTTCTCGGAGTGGGCATCATCCATCCAACGGCAAGCTGCGGAGGTGCGTCGGCGTGCTCTTGAATCCCAACTTTCTCGCCAGCCTTCTGTTCGGGCCACCCGTCTTCAGTTGCGCGCGTTGGAGAGGAAGGCGAGGCTCTGGTCACCATTCTCTCGATCTTTGGCATTGTCGTCGATACGAGTTTCGGATGACTGTCTGGTTTCTGACCCCGTCGAGCGCGTGGAGGCCTTGGCGTCCTACTGGAAACCTGTCTTTTCGCGGAAGTCTTGGGATATCGATGCGGCTCGGGCTTATATCCCCTCCTGGCTCGACCCCGTGAACACCGTCGATCTCCCGCCCCCGAACTTTGCACAGCTTCGGCGGGCCCTCCGTGCGGCCCAGGACTCCGCCCCTGGCATAGACGGCCTACCCTACGCCTCGTGGGAAGCGTTACCTTTTGGTCTTCATGTGTTGATGGATGCCCTCGATTGGATTGGCGATGGTCAAGCTCTCTTCGATTGCTCCTCTATCACTATCCAGGCTTTTCTCCCGAAGCTCGTCACAGACGTTGAGTTGCGTGATGGGGAGTGTACTCGTTCGCCCGACAAGGTTCGCGTCCTTGGCTTGCGGAACACAGACGTCAAGTTGCTGTCATCCGTCATGAATCGTGCTCTCCAACCCCTCATCCATCATATCGTCCCGCCTTGTCAACGAGGGTTCGTCGGTGGTCGCAACTTCGGAGTCAACATTCTGGAGCTGGATGCGCACGCTCGCGAGCTTTCAGTGGGCCCCCCTGGATCGCTCGACATCCCGCTTCTCTTCTCGCTCGATTTCGGCCAGGCGTTCCCCTCACTCAACCAGGAGTTTATGGCGTTTGTTCT